GCTGAACTCCTTGTTATGGTACCTGGCCTTTATGAATTTAACCATGGTATAAGATTGACAACAAGGTCTCATCAATTTACAGTTGAATTGAATGTAACTGCATGTTCTATGCTAACAGTTTCTTTTCTCACACTTCTTGCTTATGGAAGTCTCTTCCCGCTCCATGTTTTCCAGCTAATTTTGATCTTCAAAAATTTAAATGCAATGTCAATCATTATCTACTGTCTTCTTGATTACTCTTCTATTGTTCTCACACCTTAATAATGTTTCTGTTTTCTAATTCTTTCACACCAAGTAACCCCTTGTATCTTAGTGACTTTACTACTTTGCCTGGAGTAAATTTGATTTTTAAAAAAAGTCCAAGAGAATGAAAACTTTGAATTCAAAACCAGCCTCGTCAGGCTATTGTGTCTAAGACCACACCACTGCTCCTGATGACCCTAATTTATTGTGGGACCCATGTGATCTTCAATCATTACATAATTGATCTTAATTATGTTTTAATTAATTAACTTTGTCCTTTTTAAACATTTGTGTCTCTCTTATACAGTAACTTTGATACATGAGAAAATGTTATTTCTTAAATAATATAAAATATGAAATTAACTGTAAAAAATGCAATGGAAATTTTCAAAATAATTTTGTTTAAATGTTTATTGTATTTTTGTAAAATGCTTTAATTTCATATAGACATTTTTGGCCATCAGACTATTCTTCTGTATTTCATTAACTAAATCCAATCTAAAAAAATATGAGTGGACAAACCAGATTAGAGTTTTCCTAGATTTAGCTGAAAACAAAAATTCTTTAACACCTATCCTAGGGATTTTAAATAATTGTTATAGTGTAGTACTGACTGTACTTTTAACATTGGCTATCCTTTTTTTTGTTCAGTTAATTTTAATTAAATTATTTTATAATTTTCTTTTTGTCAACTCTATTATAAAAGAAATACTATTTCCGAAAATTGTTCCTTAAAAAATTCTTTTAATTCTAATTTTGTATATAATGGTTGCATATATCTTTTTATATTTTGCTGTTCACTGTTTATTGAAAAATATTTACTTTTTCCATTCTGCTTGTATATTTTTAGCCTACTTTTTTTTCTATATTTTTATTGTTCTCTGTGTATCAATTTGCTCTCTCAGTCTAACCACTTAGATAGCACGTTGTTTTTTTCATTATCATTTTTTTTTTTTTTTACTCTAACGAAAATTATTTTATAACAGGTGATGAAGTCATGTGAGTTGATTTCAATATTGAAAGTTAGTGTCATGTGAACTACTCTCCGCCCCTTTGAATTGAACTAAATTAAAACACATTTACCCTCACCTTACATCTACCTTGATCCTTTGCAGGTGGTAGATAACTCTTTTTATTTTTTTTCCTTTTAATAATAGTACACATTTTGGAGATAGTTCCTCTTTTTTAAAAAAAAAATCTGTATCTTTATTTTTTTCAAATGTCATTATATACCTATTACCGCTACCAACCACTCATCCCAATTCAAAAGAGAATTCTTGGAGTAAGCAATGGGAGTATCTCATGGGGTATTGGTAATTGTGAATTGGGCTGCCTTAAGGTGTACCTGCTTATTGTCCCATACAGAACAAAGGTAGATTCAGGTGATTCAAACACCAATCAGCTTATGCACCTCACCTGCAGTCATTTCCCTGTAACTCCCACAACTTTTGTTGGATATCCTGTAAGATAGGAACTAAACTTTTCTCACCTCCTCTTCTTGGGTATCATGTCATTGTCTCTTGGGTAACCCACCCTGTTTCCTTCCACCCTTAACTCTCACCCCAAGTTTCCCTTGCTTTGTAAAACCACCTGTGTCATCAGATGGGGTGGGGAGAAATTGTTTATGTCATCCGTCCACATCTTCCAATTATACCCCACTTATTTGATAAGCACCTCTTCTCTCCACCCCTGCCACAATATAGTTCTACTTCTCTTCTCTTTGGAAATCAATGAACCATGAAGTTAGAACATGCTAATAGATTCTCTTTGGTATTGTTCTACAAGAGTGTGATCCTAGCCAGATTTCATTGTTACTCTTTACTGTGTAAGCTTCTGGTTTTTCTTTCATCTTGTGGCAAGGAAGGGGAGATGACTTTCCTTCTTACTGCAAAACACACACACACACACACACACACGTGTGTGTTTATAATGTCTATGTATGTACATGTACATTGAATGTACACATACAGATTTAACCTTCATAATGTAGTACTTTACAGAAGACATCCATATGTTTCTTTAATATTCGCATAACTTTCTGTCTTGCTGTTCAGATGAAAGCAAAAATGAAAATATCAAATAAAAAGGGGAGTTCCTGGTTATAAACATATTTTTTTTCAATATTAAAGGATTTTATATCTAAACTTTTGCTTACTTGCCATTCTTTAATCTTTTTTTCCACCTCATTACTTATGTTTTATTGTTGTCAGCTTTGCTCTCAGAAATAACTAATAAATATTTTATAAATTGATGTGGTTGGTGGTAAGAAGTTAACAAAATGATTTCCACATGAGTGGAAGTGAAAAGTTCTGGTTGGTAAAAAAACAGAGTGATTCATTTTATCTGAGCTGAACACTAAACTATCTGGACTTGAACCATCACAACTGGCCTTATCTTCACTATGATTTTCTTTTATAATATTTTAAATAATAGAAACTTTTCAACAATTTGATTTTAAGAAATTTTTATTCTAATGCTGAAATATATTCTAAACATGACTTTTAAGAAGACAGCATGAATGTCATCAAGATACAAACTATGACTTGAGAACATTGATATCAAGCAAGTGTGAAAATTTGAATACATAGGAAATGTTTTAATAGGGGACAGATAATGTGAAACTGAAATCCAAACGTATATTGGAATAGTGAATGATATCTACCAAAAAATAAACAAGGTATTAAGAAACAAAAAAAAAATTATTAGAAACAAATAAGAGTTCTGAACTGCTATATAATATCAGTCCTCATATATGGTAGTAAAATGCTGGACAATCCCTTCACAGACGACGAAGAGATTTGAAGCAACAGAAATGCAGCTCTACAAAAGAATGCTGAGAATACCATGGACTGAACATGTGAGTGACAAGAAAGTTTTAAAGAAAATGGAAATTTAAAGGACACTTAGAAATTTGGACTATTGTCATTATCTTTGTCGCCATATTTATTACAATATTTTGGCTGTTGTACGCTCCGGCCTTCTTCAGGTAGTTGGAATGTTGAATTGAACCCTTTATTTCACTCACTGGGGTAGACTGTTCTAGTTCCACATGCCATATTTAATGGATATCAGTTATCTCCTGTTAATCTCATCTGCAAGTTCTCCACTGCCTTAAACGGGTATTGAACTCACATTCTTTGGGTCCTGTCACTGGATCTAACCAACACCTTTATCCACTGTGCCATGTGTCCTTGAGTGTAATAAATATGGTGTCAAAGATGAGGACAATAGTCCAAATAATGTAAATAGTGCACATAATACCTCATCTCGGAAATATAGACAGATACTGAAGTTACTAAGTGTTGGGTTCATTATACTTGGAGATGAAAATAATGTGTGTTAGTAAGTTACTAAACATCTTTTTCATTGTACTTGAAGATAAAAATAATATGCGCTGGTAAGTTCATTGTACTCAGAAATTAAAAAAATGTGCACTAGTAAGTTATTAAACAACTTGTTCATTGTACTTGAAGATGAAAATGTGTGTTAGTTAGCATCATATTCATTGTACTCATAAATGAAAATAATGTGCATTAATAAGTTACTAAACATCTTGTTCATTTCACTCAAAGATGAAAATACTGTACATTAGTTTAGATTTTATTAGTCAAGTCAATATTTTCACAATAAAGTTGATATTAAGTAATAGCAACAATTTCTGAGTATACTCACAGTTATATGATAAATATACAATGTAAATTTTATAATATTATATTAATATTATTAAATATTTACAATAACTTATTTGGCAGTGTGAAATTTTATTATAAAAGTCAAGGGTTATTCATCACATTACAAATAAATATATATAGCAGAATAATTATTGATATCTAATTTTTAATTTCAGCTATGCAAAAATGACCATTGGGTTTTCAAGAAAATTATAACCTCAAAAGAGAAACTTTTCTCATTGAATGAAATTGCAAAAAAATTAAAGAGAACAGGGAAAAATCAAAAAAGAAATTTAAAATTGGCTTTTCTAATGTTACAAAAAGAGATTTGAGAAAATTAATAGCAAGAAAAGTAGATTGACCAGTAAAAATATTCGAAGAAGCTGGTGTTATGAATGTATAAAAGTAAACTTACAGAATATTAACAAGATCTGCTAAAGGCATGAAAGCAACAAAAACTACCATATTTAAGTAAACATCACAAAGAGAAATGTTTAAGTTGGACAAAGTAGTACCTGAAAACTGATTTCTCAACAGTAATTTTTAGTGATGAATATAGATCTGCATTAGATGAATCTGATATCTGTGCTGGAGGTTAGGACCTTCATGGAAATAGTTAACTTAGAAGAGATGGAGAGTCAATTTTGGGGCTAGTATTGTCAGTAATAAAATTATAAGTTTGTTCAAAGTTGATGATGGTATCAAAATAAATGCAAAGAATTATTGTCAGTTTTTATGCCATATGTTTTTAAGTGATACTGATTATAAGCAAGAAGGTTTATGTTGAAGTTTATATTCACTGCTCTTAAACAATCAGCAACACTTGCCAATAAAGATTTCAAAGACACCAAATTAATGGGATGATACCCAGCCTCTCTGGATATTAATCCAATAGAAAACTTGTGATCCATCATTAAAAGAGATATATATGAGAATGAAAAATGATATTCAAGCAAAAAAGATCTATGTGAGGCTGAAAGTATCTGACCCTACTTACTATGTTTTATTTTTATGAGTCAGATTAGACCAAAAATGGAGTATAGCTACCATGCCTGAGCTGCAGTTGACCAATCCTCTCTTTCCAGC